TATCTATCTATCTATCTATCTATCTATCTATCTATCTATCTATCTATTTATTTTAGTAAAAGTTGGTCTGCGTCACCCTGATGCGGTGGTGGAGACTAGCTCTTTGTCCAGTGTCACTCCTCCTGATGTTTGGTACAAAACCTCCATCTCTGAAGAGACCATTGATAATGGCTGGCTCTCTGCGTTGCAGCTCGAGGCAGTTACCTATGCGGCCCAGGTAACTAGTTAAGCTCAGTGGTTTATCTTTGAACATAAAGTCTTAAAATCTTTTCATTTGTTCATTCATTCATGACAAAGTCGCTCTGTGTATTCGTGGTTTGTAGACTAGGCTGGCCTTAAATTCCTGTGTCTGCCTCCCCAGTACTGGGACTAAAGGCATGTGTCATAATATCTGGCTCATTTTATTATTTATTTATATGTATGTATGTGTGTCGAGTGTATTTCACATGTGTCTATAATGACAGAGGCCAGTAGAGGTAGTCAGATCCCTTTCACCCCCAAGCTAGAGTTACAGGCAGATGTGAGTCACTTGACCTGAGTTCTGGGAATCATGCTTTAGGTACCTAAAGGTTCCAGGACAGCCAGGGCTATACACACACACACACACACACACACAGAAAAGTTATATATTAGGAAAAGAGAAGGTGTGGTAGGGATTTGGAGAATGCCTTCTGGTAGAAATGAAAAGCCATGACCTTCTGTGCTTTTACCTGGCAATATTGTTAGTATGGAGACTGCATGAATTTTTTTGTCTAGGAATCTGAGGCATATGCTTTCTTTCCTGCTGAAAGACTTGAGGGTCCATACTGTTGGGAGTAGTTAGTAAGCTAGCAGTCCTGTGTTGCTCAGGTGCTATCCCTTATGTGCCGTGTGAGCAGCCGTAGCTTCAGTTATGCTTGAAGGGATTTTGTTCAGGCTTTATTTCTGTTGGGTAAGCAGTGCTGTGAATGGCTAACTGTTGCCATGATTAAGTATCATGTGAAAGTTGGCATATGACATATCAGGCAGGTGTTCAAAGGAATAGGGGAGCCATTTCACCAGTTTGTTGGCTTTGCATGGCAGGGTAGAAGGAAAAAATAAAATACTTACATAGACAGAATATCAATGCTTGGGGTCACTCTAATTTCAAATTACATGAAAGAACAGTGATGACACTTCTGTGGTTGTTTTAATTGGGTACTGTGGTTGTTTTAATTGGGTAGGAGCTTACTTACTGAAGCAGCTTATCAGTAGCTAACTCATTCTTCCAACTTCTCCCTTTTTAGCAACATGAAACATTCCTCCCTAATGGAGACCGTGCTGGCTTCTTAATAGGCGATGGTGCTGGTGTGGGCAAAGGCCGGACGATAGCAGGGATCATATATGAAAATTATTTGTTGAGTAGAAAAAGAGCATTGTGGTAAGTTCCAAGGGGTTGGCTGACTGATCACCATGGAAGGATGAATTTAAATGAATATATTTTGCATTGTCAAGATCTGACTTTATTTCTTAGTTCTATCCAAAACTACAGTTCAAGTTTTATTTGGTTTATTTTTTTTTTTCACAGGTTTAGTGTATCAAATGACTTAAAATATGATGCTGAAAGAGATTTAAGGGATATTGGAGCAAAAAACATTTTGGTCCATTCATTAAATAAGGTATGGAAGCTTCCCTGATCCAATGCATGTATGAGAATGGGAGTAATTTTTTTTCAGGGAGTGGGAGGTGGAGGGAGTTGTTACAAGGATTGAATCAACTCTTGCACATAACACACAAGCCATGGATGTGTGTTATGAGACAAAGTGGGCATGGTCCCTGTTACAGGGGGTTTGTTTTCTTGCTCTACAGTGTCATATTTGTTTTAGTTTCTGGAGTACTTTGTATGCCTGTACATGTGTAGTGTGGGAAAGTGTTGCACCATCACTGTGGTCAGCACATTTGTACAGGCTACAGGGAGTCATTCTGTTTGTAAACTATGGTATTTATCTGACAACTGACTTGGATGACTATTTGTGTTGATGTGGAAAATAGAAAATGGGTGTCTGTCTGTAACTCACATTTTAGAATTTTAATGCTTACCTAGCACATCCTGTTGTTCTAAGACTGTCTTAATCATATAGCCCATGTTGGTCTCTAACTCACAATAATCCTCTTGCCTCAGTGTCTTCCTAGTGCTGAGATTAAACATGTAAGGTTGCAATCCTTGCACAAGTCTTGTCCCCTCTTAATATTTATTTATTTATCTATTGATTGATTGATTGAGACAGTCTCACTATGTAGCCCTGGGTATCGTGGAACTCACTGTGCAGACTTAAGCTGGCCTCAGAGCAGATAGAAGTCTGCCTGCCTCTGCCTCTTGAGTGCTGAGTTTAAAGGCGTGTACTACCAAGTCTAGCCTCCTGGCACAAATCTTAACATTAGTGCTGTATGCCTTTTGTTGGTTATAAAGTTTCATAGAAACATTTCCCTACTAGTCTTGAAAATCAGAGAATGTGTATCTGCTCTTCATGTTTATCTGTGGCCCATTGTTAGGACCCTGGTTCTCACTGGCCTTTCTTCTGGTAGGTCATCAGATTTTCAGGTTAGAATGTATGTGGTTGACTAGATCTGTGATTAGGGTGCTATGTTGTGAATGACTGCAGTTCAAAATTAAACCATGCACCTGACCGTGTAACCAAAGGGCATACTACTCAGAATGCTGCTGAAGGTGCTGGGAATGAAACCCATGGTAGGATGTTGAGCATGCTAGGGAAAGTGCTCTATCACTGAACCACACCCCAGTCTATTTGCTAAAACTTCTCTTGTTCATATTTCCTCTTTTCCTCAACTCAGTCATAGTGCTTTGAATATGTGGTAGTGTTGAGTGCACAGCAGGTATGTGTGGAGCCACTGCTCTAACTTTCATAGAAAAGCTGACTTGACACTTTTTTGTGTTTTTGTGATAGGTGTGCGTCTATGTAGAGTGTTTTATGGGTTATCTGTATTGGTTTGTCAGTCTGTCATGAACCTATTATGTTGAATCTCAGAAGTTAGTAGATACTTCTGCAGGGAGGTGTACTAATTATTAATTCTTCCATTTTGTTTTATTTTTAGTTTAAATATGGAAAAATTTCTTCTAAACACAATGGAAGTGTGAAAAAAGGTGTTATTTTTGCTACCTATTCTTCCCTTATTGGTGAAAGCCAGTCTGGTGGTAAATACAAGACCAGGTTAAAACAGCTTCTGCATTGGTGTGGTGACGACTTCGATGGAGTGGTATCCTTTAATAGAGACCGCTCTTCTCTTCTCTTCTCTTCTCTTCTCTTCTCTTCTCTTCTCTTCT